AGAGAAGAGAAGAGAAGAGAAGAGAAGAGAAGAGAAGAGAAGAGAAGGAAAAAGAGAGAGAGAAGGAGCGAAAAAAAATGTCTTAGTCGCTACTGTTGAGCAGGGGGTTTTCTCCCGGGACCAGTTCTACTTTTGGAACATGTTATTGTCAGGCAGAGGTCAACATCTTTTACCTCTTTTTTCCATTATTCAAAATAAGTATTGATGTTATGTTTTAGCTATTTAAAAGCCAGCTGCCTTGCTCATTTCAGATATTTTTCCTGGTATTATTGTATGTGGTAATAGCTGGCCTGTGTATCGTCTTTCACAAAATCTAGCCTTTCAGGGTCTCAGTCTTCAAATGATATCAATCAAAATTTATGCAATTCAAAATCCATATGTATAGAGTCCCAGTTCACCTCATTTAATGATAATAGTAAACCACATGTTGTGTACATGTCTGAAACACTTTTCTAGTTCTTGACTGTATTAACCCTAGGGGCACTATGTTTTTGTACAGCTTGCCCAACTGAGCAGCATAATATATTGATTAATACTTGGCAACAACTGCATTCTTGAATAATAAAACCACGAACAAGGTAAATGTGTACTAATAAAACACGAAGAGTGTCAATATTATTTGGTGATGTGTGTTAATAAAAGATGCTAAAGATCAGGAAAGCCCTGAACCTCACCATTAACAAAAGGCAGAGCTTCAAACCGGTCTCTTTTCCCTGATATTTTTATTCCACATCTCCTACTTACCTGGGCAGACGTGGAGCGGCCGCAACAAATGCTCCATATTTATGGGGTCTGGGTCCAGTGTAAACAAAAAAGTTAGACGTTTCTGCAAAAGGCTGATTGAAATGAGCAGTAATTCATTGCTAGCCCAGTCCTTCCCGGGCAGAGCAGCGTGCGGGCATCACAGGCAAATCCTGGGAACAGTTACTGCTTTTACAATAGAATTTGCTTCTGACAGACTGCATTATTTACTTAAGGCTTAATATACAGTTAGAAATAAGATTTGCTTTCATGGAAAAGCACTAAAACATTTGGCAAAGGAAGAGCCGAGCATTTTCCTTAATTTGTTTTGGCAACTCTGAAAAATAGATCCCATTACGCTCACGTTTGCATTCTAGAAACATAACAACGAACAATAATGTTACGAAAATCAAGATATAATTAAAAATAGTGTGATATAACAAGCAGCGAGTGAAGGCAGAAGAATGAGAAGAGGCGTGCTGGAAAGCATTGCTTTCAGCGCAGGGGATGGCTGAGGAGGGAAGGCAGCAAAGGACAGCAGCTGAAAAGCTCTTGGCAGTGCTTATTTGTTTATTTTGGTCGGAGGGGGGAGGCAGCAGAGGAGGGAAGGACCTAAAAGTGCAAAGTAGCACAAACCGTTTAACAAACAGTTAAAATAGTTTCACACTTCTCCTTTCTTTTCTTTTCTTTTTTTTTTTTTTCTTCTTCTTTTTTTTTTTAAAGGAAAGACAATATTTAAACATAGGTTTGCATTCCTATCTCAATCGTTCAACTTTTGTATGGAAACAAATATTGAGAAATTAAACACAATCACGTTTTGATTAACCAGAGCTCGTTCCTAAGGCCGCAAGGTATAGCAGCAAGATTGCATCTGTGTCTTCCCTCAATGCCATCTACATGAGTCACAGCGAGGCAGGAAAGCTGTTGACAAATTAATACTTTAAGAAAATAAACTATGGTCATGTTGAACATAGAGCAACTTTATCCTGATTAATTTGTGTTGGAGTGGCTCCAGCCCCCTTTACAAAGCCGCGCAGTTTGTACAAATGTAATTTCCTAATATTTACACGAGGAAAGCCTCAGCCGTTAAGCTTTGCCTCCAGTGTGAGTTTTGTGGTTAGTAAAAAGACAATAAAAATACAGAGAGGTAATTGTAAGCACATTTGGAGAGGGAAAAAAAAAAGAAAGGGGGGGGGGGGAAGCTTTTCTCCACTCCTCCTTGCACAGCCCTATAAAAGTGAGCTGAGCTGTGCCGTGCTTGCAGGGACGGCGGTGCCAGCCTCACCCCGCACAGGTTCCACTACTGCAACCCCTCCTGCTTAATAACAACCAGAATGCTGCGACTGCTCAGCACAAACAAGAAAACCCCTCCAACACCGGCGCTGTGCTTTGACTCTGGTGGTCTCTAAAAGCCGGTATAAATCCAGCTCAGCCTGCCTGATCGCGCGGCCTCTGCCGTTTTATGTCTTTATTTAAATAGAGCGTCAGACATTCGTACAATTGTCTGATTTAATAAATACGCGGAGGAGAAACGCGGTTATAATGCGTTGCTTTGTTTGAGGAATATTAAAAATAACCTTTAGTTTTAATGAGATTTTTTCCCCCCATCAGTTTGCACAATTTTCCAGATGCAAAATGAGCTTTTGGCTGTAAAATATTTTATCACATTGTCTTACACAATAAAGATTAGATGTTTTCGCTCTCTCTCAACTCCGCCGCAATTATTTTTTAGTGTTTGCAAATCATAATATCATTTAAAAACCATATTTTATACCTCATCTGAAATACTTTTATAGCAGCGCGATGAAAAAAAAAAACAACAAAAAAAACCCAACCCAACACAACATCTATTTAACTACTCTTTTTAAGTGGCTGTAATATGCTTTGGTATAATTTCCCAGAAAAAGGCATAGCTAAAAAAGCTTAGCTGTTCTTGAAAACAAATCTCCCAAGAAGCATCTTTGCAAAAATCCCCAGAATTTAATTCCCCTGGCTGAAGAGCCCAGAGAGCCTGAATATAAAAATAGTAGCCCTGTCATTTCACATTCATTAAGTGTGAAACTCAGAAATTAATAATGTAAAAATATGCTTTTTAATTAGTCTTACATTCTGCCCAATGTACTTAAATGGGATCAGCAGCTCCCTAATGATTTTTTTCTTAATAAAGTATTAGCCTGTGATGCACTGGGGTTGACAGGTATGATAAACTGGAAAGTACTTTTGGAGGCGTATGAATGATACCAAAATAGTACTCTCCCATTTAAATGTAATTAACATCAGGGAGCAATATTACACAAGGAGAAGCCTGCAAGATTTTTATTTCAGGGTATTTTTTTTTTTTTCATTTCTTGTTTTATGAGTAGTTTGATGATTGCAGCAGTGATTTTATAATTTAATTACCTTTGTTGAAAGCTAAGCTTTTGCTAATGGCGGGTCAACAGGATCATAAAGCAGTCTTCAAAAATATTAAAAAGGAGGTAAATCCCCTTAGCTAACCTACACAATAACAACATGAGCACGCGTGCATATGCGATGCATTTTATAGACGGATGTACATAGACACTCTAAGCCTGTTCCCGTGTTATTTGTTTACTGTGCTATTTCAGATCAGTATTTACTCTCTGAAGGGACTTGGTATGCATTAATCAGATGCAAGGAAAAAAAAAATCAAGCAGGGAAGTTGCAGAGATGCCCAGCCAGGGGCCGGGTTGTGCCATCAAGGGCAGCACCTGCACCTGCAGCAGCACCAGTCGGGGCCCTCTGCCACCCCTTCCACGACTACTTTGTGCTTTTACATTTCTAAAGCAACCTATTTTACTCTGGGAGATAAAAGATCACTGTTGACCTGCACTGCTTGTGCAAGAGTATTCCGTCTTATTTATATGCCAAATGTCACTTGTGTTTATTTAAGAATTTTTGCTCATACCTCCTTGTCGTGGTTCTCCCCAATGATGCGCTTTCCATCCAGTCAACAAGCCAGCAGTGTCCCATCATCCACTGGAGCTTCCTGCTTGGCACAGCACTTTTCCCACCACCCATAAGTGTTTCTACATCCACTTCTACATGGCTCATGCTGAGCACCTTGGGTGTTAACCTCCCAGTGGGAGCTGCTGGGACACCAAGATGCTGTAGCACTTGCCTGCATTTCCTCCAATGCATGTCTTTGCCAATGAGTGGCCTCTTTTTGTTTTTTCACCCTAGTGTTGACCTGGAATAAATAGAAAGTTGGAATAAATGAAAAATCAGAAGTGGCAGACTTACCCAGCCCAACCTCTGGCTAGATGCTGACTTGGTAACCTGGTGTGGAAGGGACTTGCATACTGCTATCGATTTTCATTTGGTTTATTTGAAAATAGCCAATCCAGGGGTAAAGTGGTCAACAAAAAATCAGTTCATTTTTTCCACTCTTCCGTTACAAATGCATCCTTCAGGACTGTCTCTGGATCAGAGACAGCTGTTGAACATCCCAGCTGAACTGGAAGGTCTTATGGTAAATGGGAACATCATCCAGCAGCTGAAGTGGCTGAGAGATAGGATCACACCCTTCATACAAGAGCATTGCCCGTGTACACAGTGCCATCTCATTATTCCATAGTCCCAGGGCAGCACTAGAGCCACAGCTGGCCAGCCAGTGACAGAACCACAAGGGAACACACCTGAGTATTATAGGCAATCCCTGCAGGACATCCGTTTCCCCTGCTTTGGTAACTTCCAACATCCTTTAAAAATGTGATCACGAAATGCCATTTGTTCTGTATTTATCTCAGCGCTACAAAACTGCCTAACTATTGGCTCTACGTGAGCTCTTTTATAATATTTTTCCAATCACAAACACCATTGCATTGTTCCCTTGGGATTTCCTTGATGGATCTATCTATCTATTTATGCGTTCATGAATCAAATCATTGGAGTGAGGAAAGTTTGTATAATCTATAGCTTTCATAAGATTCCACTGAACTTGTACTTCAGGGTGATTTCCAGGAGTGTGATGTTATGTGCATCCCTCCGGGTGAACACAGAACATCTCTTCTCTTTCCATGGAATTCACCGTGCTGTCAAAAAATGTCCAGCAAGCTCACTCCAAAATGAAAGCTTAAAATACATGTCCAGCTCTGAGCCTGGAAGGAGAGTCTCAAGAACAGAGCTGTTTTAATGGGAAGCTGGATCAAAATATAACCATCAAAACTGCCCTCCTGCAAACACACACTGGAAATTTTATTACTGAGATTTTGGGGGCTTTCCCGATAGAGAATAAAAGACAGTCAAACTCACTGGAAAATATTTACATAGGGCCACAGAGTGCAAACCTTAGGAACGCTGAGTGGTATTTACTCCTAGGAATAGCCCTGGTGCAGACACTGCAGTGCACGGCGCTTGCCCGTCCGGGGATTTGGGGAGAGTTTGTCTGAGTCAGACACGCAGGCAATGGCCCCACACTGGGGCATCATAATGCTTTAATTAATTAACGTCTGTAAACTGTTTGGTGATCTCGGGATGAAAGGAGTTCTAGAAATGCCAGGTATTATTGAAAATTAATTACTCCAGCCTTTCCCCCAAATCTTGCTAAACATATTTCATTTTTTAATCTACCCTGCTGCTTACATAAAGCTCACTGCTGAATTATTTTCTGTTAAATATCAAAGAAAATAAAAAGGGAGCCATCTGAGCAGCAGATCAAGCTGCTGTGCAAGGCGTTCTGGGGCAGGGAGGGACACAAGACACGGGTGTGCTGGGGCAGGGTGACCAAGCCAAAGCCAGGCACTTGTGCAGTGCTGGAGGAGCACCAGAAGATCAAGCCACAGGAGATGCAGAACTCATTTGGGAGATCCAAGGGCAGCACAAGCTGTTCCAGCCACTGCCGAGTGCTCCTGCCGGCAAATCAATCGCTCTAAATGCTATTCATCATTCAATCAAAGGGAGACAGAACATGTATATTATTTATACAAGTCTAAAATCATTTTGTGCTACTTACCGAAGAGTCACCTTCTGCATCATCGTGAAGCAAAAGGCAGGACTTGGAAGAGATTTCATGCACCAGACCCAGCAGGTATATTCTAGGTAGCTCCAGATGCATGGTCGAAGCAATAAGCTGCACAAAACAAATAAAGCAGAAGCTGTTATAGTATTTAAGGTTGCAGATTTATACACATGCACTTTAATTTATATAATGTACAAATTGATGATCTTGTTGTTGATTATAAGAGTTAATCCTGTGATCTGTCTCAGACATTATAAGACCACGGTAATGTTGGAGCACTTTTGTGACGCTCCATTCAGCAGGTGAACCCTTCTATTTCCTCAAGCAGACAAAGCCCAGATCTAGCACAGGTCTCCTAGGGTGTTTAGGGGCAAAAAATGAAGCAATTCTTATCTGCTTAACTCCAGTGGAAAATGTTCTGATCAATTTTAACAATGTAAAAAATGATCCTATTGTCTATTCTGCAGACCTGTAGACATTGCAGTCCGCTACCTTCTCATGGATTGTCCCACCCTGTTTCTCTTGTTGGAGCCACTTGGGTTTCCTGAGATAAGGAAGTTACTGTGTTGGCATGGCCTCCGCAGCTGCTGCAGTCAGAGCAACCACCAGTACTGTCCTCTCCTTCTCCTCTTCCTCCTCTTTCTCCTGTTCCTGTTGTGTCTGAAAGTACGTTCCCCATCAAGGCTGAATGGCAGTGGGATCTCCATTATTCTGCAACTTCTTCCCACCAGTTCTACAATAAAGGAAATCTTTCTTTACTGTCCTGAGTCAAATCCATAAGTCAAGTCTCACACATGTCTCACCCATTCCAATTTTCAGAAGAAAACTATGTTTTACCAAACATTCTTCTGGATGCTTCCAACAGCAAACAGCAGATGGGGCTACAGAAATTGTCACATTTTAAAAAAATAATAATATGAGAAACAGCATTTTACATCATGAAAAGCAATTTATTCTACACCATTTCAAAAAATAAATAGGATTCTCTTTTTCTGTTTTAAGACATCAATGAATCTGTCGCATAATGTGCTTTTGTAAACCGATTATCCTTGATAATCTCATTAGCTGAAATTATTTTACTTTTCTAACATGGTAGATTTTTAAATACCTTTTATTTCATATCCCCCTGGGCACGTTGCAGTGAAATTTACTATTAAGCAAAATAATTATCTATTTCTAACCTTAATGCTAAAAAGCAAAAACAAAATAAAATAATTCTAAATCTAAGGGCAGATATTGGGACGGAGAAACTACAAGAAAGCCCACGATCAAGAAAAAGAAATTCCCACAAGCAGGCAAATCTCTTCTCCCTGTTGACAAATGAGTCACTTTTTTACCCTACAGATATTAAGGATGAGGAATATTAAGGTAGGTGAGGCAGAGCTTGGCTCTGGGGTGAAGGAGGACCATGTCGCTCCCAGCTCCCACTCACCAGGCTGCAACCTCTGCTACGTCCCCGGCACCATCATGAGATGTGAGTTGTTTCCAAAGAAGCTTAAATCTGCGTTTTACGTGTGGAAGTTTGCAGCTGTAATGGGATTACGGTGTCGGCAGAGGGAGGGAAGTTTGCAGCTGTACTGGTTTGGGGGGGGGATAGGAAGCAGCTGTTAAAATAGAGGACTAATGGTGATTAATTCTTATTATGTGTTTGAAGATCGCACAATGAGTTCAGGACCCAAACCTTCCCACTGGGAATAAACTGAAGGAGGAGGATTTAAAAAGAGGGAAAATAGAAGGGGAATTTGAATGTACGTTTGGCCTAAGTGGCCTGGTCTTAAATCACTTGATTAATATTTAAGCGTAATTTAAATCAATGTTATTAAGACAAAAAAATATCTAGCTCCGGAAACCTGTAATTAATGGATGTTTATGCAGCCTGGGAGATCACCTGCCTCTTTCAAAAGTGCATGTATAGGGACCAGACAAGATGAAGACCCCATCCCGTATCCCCCTCCATTCACCAGCCACGGTCCAGCACTGAAGCTCCAGCAACAAGAACATCCCAACCTGACCTCAGCTCGATGCTCAGCCCCAGGGGAACCTGCTCTGTTTCCCACATTCAGGGCAATTCACATCAGAGCCAGGTAATTTGCTGCAATATTGTGGCTGAGTCCTACAGCCAGCTTGCAGAGAAATGCAATGTGCTGGGTATTCTGAGGCTTCCCCAGAGCACAGCAGGTAGAAGATATGAGATTTCTATTTATATACTGCAGCCTGGCCAAGGAAGTGACAATTTAACGGCAAAGGTAAGAGGATGGGGTGTGAAGGTGCCTGCAAAGGCAGCGGTGCAGGCAGTGCAAGGTCCCCTGAGCCCCTGGGGGGCAGTGACCCACTTCGGACCATGATGGGTCCCTGAGAGAACCCGACCCCTCTGTCTTCTCTCAGCTCATTGACTTTGTGGCTTGACAGCATGGCATGGCTCCTGCAGACCAAGAAGAACAAAAAAAATTAAAGATGGTGAACAGCAGCTATTAGGGTAAGCTCAAAAGGTCTAGGCTATGTTTCTCAGCCAAGACTGCAATGAGAATTAATCAAATGTCATACAGGCAGAGAGATTATACTGAATTATTAGAAGGGAAAACTGAGGGAGAAAATGAACAGAAAGGTAAATTTTATTTATGTGAAATATTTTGTTTTGATCTTAAACTTTGAAATCTGTTTGAAATATCAATCTTTGCTAGGATGAAAGAGATCACAAAAAAAAAAAAAAAAAAAAAAAAAAAAAAAAAAGTGGGGGGGACCAAACAGAGCTTCCTTCACCAAACCAACTCTGCAATGTTCGTCACATTTTTAGTCATAGAATCATAGAATAGCATGGGTTGAAAAGGATCACAACCATCATCTGGTTCCAACCCCCCTGCTGTGTGCAGGGTCACCAACCATCAGACCAGGCTGCCCAGAGCCACATCCAGACTAGCCTTGAATGCCTCCAGGGGTGGGGCATCCACGACCTCTCTGGGCAGATGTTTTAAGATGCTTTGTTTTTCAAACATGAAAAAATTAACAATAACATGACTGAGTGCCAAGTGTACCAAGAATTCCTGCCTTTCACACGGCTGTAGCTGTTGCCCATTCCCAGCAGAGCTGGTTAGTGAATTAAAACATTTCTTCTATCAGCAACCAATGATTCTGTGCTGATGATAGGTCAAAGACACCTTCAGTAAATTATACC